CCAACCATGAAATCTGGTTATGCAATTTGAATAAATATTAAATGGCAATTGAATGCTATGACAAATCTATTGCTATTAATCCAAACGAGGATAGTGCATGGCACAACAAGGGTAGTTAATCATTCAATATCATTATTTAGGATCGGCATTATGCGATTTGAATAAATATCAAGAAGCAATTGAATGTTACGAAAAAGCTATTGCTATTAATCCCAAATATGATAGTGCATGGCATAACAAGGGTAGTTAATCATTAAGAATCATTATTTAGGATGGGCGTTATGCTATTTAAATAAATTTTAAGAAGCTATTGAATGCAACAATAAGGCTATTGCTATTAATCCAAAATATGATAGTGCATGGCAAAACAAGGGTAGTTAATTATTAAAAGTCATTAATTAGGATCGGCATTACACAAATTGAATAAATATCAAGAAGCAATTAAATGTTACGACAAAGCTATTGCTATAAATCCAAAATATGATAGTGCATGGCATAGCAAGGGTAGTTAATCATAAACATAATTATTTAGGATAGGCATTAGAGGATTAGAATAAATATCAAGAAGCAATTGAATGCTACGACAAGGCTATTGCTATTAATTCAAAATATGATTGTGCATGGCATAGCAAGGGTAGATAATTATTAAAATTGATTATTTAGGATAGGCATTATACAATTTGAATTAATATCAAAAAGCAATTCAATGTTACGAAAAAGCTATTGTTATAAATCCGAAATATGATAGTGCATGGCATAACAAGGGTAATTAACCATTAAAAATAATTATTCAGGATCTGCATTATGCAATTTAAATAATTATCAAGAAGCAATTAAATGTTACGACAAAGCTATTGCTATAAATCCAAAATATGATAGTGCATGGCATAACAAGGGTAGTTAATTATTAAAGATCATTATTTAGGATGGGCATTATACAAGTTGAATAAATATCAAGAAGCAATTAAATGTTACGACAAAGCTATTTATATGAATCCAAAATATGATAGTGCATGGCATAAAATGGGTATTAGAAATCATTATTTAGGGTGGGCATTAGAGAATTTGAATAAATACTAAGAAGCCAATGAATGTTATGACAAAGCTATTGCTATTAATCCAAAATATGATAGTTCATAATTCAACAAGGGTAGTTAATCATTAAAAATCCCTATTAAGGTTAGGCATTAGAGGATTTAATTAAAGATCAAGGAGCAATTTAATCTTATGACAAAGCTACTGCTATTAATCCCAAATATGATAGTTCAAGTTAAAGCAATGGTAGTTAATCATAAAATATCATTATTTAGGATTTTGTATACAGGATTTGAATAAATAGCTAGAAGAAATTGAATGCTACATCAAAGCTATTGCTATTAATCCAAAGTATGATAGTACATGGCATAACAAGGGTATTTAATAATTAATAATGAATATTTAGGATCAGAGTTACACAAGTTGAATAAATATCAAGAAGCAATTGAATGCTACAACAAAGCTATTTCTTTTAATCCAAACTAGGATAGTACGTGGTATCACACAGGTAGTCAATAATTAACAATCCTTTTCAGGATCTGCATTATGCAACTTGAATAAATATCAAGAAGCAATTCAATGTTACGACAAAGCTATTTCTATCAATCACAAACTTAATGAAGCATAGAATAACAAGGGTAGTTAGTCATTATATATCATTATTTAGGATTGGCATTATACAACTTGAATAAATATCAAGAAGCAATTGAATGTTTCAACAAAGCTATTGCTATTAATCCAAAATATGATATTGCATGGTATAACAAGGGTAGTTATTCATTAAAATTCATTATTTAGGATCTGCATTATGCAATTTAACTAAATATCAACAAGCAATTGAATGTTACGACAAAGCTATTGCTATTAATCCAAAATATGCTAGTGCATGGAATAACAAAGGTAGTTAATCAGTAAAAATCATTATTTAGGATTGGCATTAGATGATTAGAATAAATATCAAGAAGCAATTGAATGTTACGACAAAGCTATGGCTGTTAACCCAAAATATGATGGTGCATGGCATAACAAGGGTAGTAATCATTAAAATCATTATTTAGGATTTGCATTACACAAATTGAATAAATTTTCAGAAGCTATTGAATGTTATGTCAAAGCTATTGCTATTAATCCAAAAGATGATAGTTCATGGAATAACTAGGGTAAATAACTTTATTATTCAGGTTTGGCTCTACACAAATTATAGAAATTTAAGGATGCAATATCATGTTTTGATCAAGCCCTTAATTTGAAAATTACTCCTTAACGATTAAAAAATAAGGGTATACCATAGTTTCATAAATTTTTAGCTGATTCATTATTTGAATTTGGAAATAAATCAAAGGCTAAGCAATTCTATTTAGATGCATTAGAAAAAGGATCAAATTAAAAGACTTATATATTGAACTAACTATCAAAATTATGAGAGAATTAATATATTGGAATTTCAGATATTTGTATTCTTATTATAACTTTTGCCAGTTTTATTGTAAAAGGTATTGTCTGGATAATTATCCCTTTCTGTTATTATAAATAAACTATTATATCAATT